CGCTCTCTCTTTCGCTTGCTCGCTTACTCATTTCCTCTTTCCTGGTAGCTTTTGTCAAAATTATTTACAAACACTCGTGAATTAAGCAAGCCCAACAGAATCGATTCTGACCAGGGCCATTATTCAGACATGAAGAAAAAGGTGCAGGGAGGCCAGAACATGAAAAAAAATTAGTATAAAGTCCAAGCTGACAACACATGCAGAACTCAGTCCAAGCACTGCTCATGGGCAGACCGGAGAGTGCTTTGAAAGGCAGGGCCTGTATTCCCATTGTGCAGATGGGGAAACTGAGGCACAGTGAAGTTGAATGACTCAGTCACGGCCCTATAATGAGTCAGGGGTGCAGCCCATGCGACATGGCGGGGACGTAATGCTACAGGAATATGGAGAAAATCATTTCCTAGGATGTCTATGAGTCCCACCTGGGAAGGAAATGTGGAGGTGGAAGTGAGGAAGGTGGGGGCTACTGGAAGATGCTGTTGCTGCAGGTAGAGGATACTGGGAAATGCTCTTAGGCAGGGTTCAGGCTGTTGCTGAGGTTATGGGTTAGGATTGTGGAGGGGTTTCAGGCAGCAATTTTCTTGGTACATGAATGATTGGAAAGCCTGGGGCAAGCAGGGTATAGAAATAGTATCTAGAGACAGCAATCCTAGTGCAGCTGGAGCACACCTGTGGGGAGGTGAGGTGCTAGCACACAGTGCTCAGATACAGGGGATCTATAGGTAACAAGACAGACGGGTAAATAGAGAGGATACAGCAGAAGAAAACTATTTTTGACACTGCTGCATTGAATGTGATTTTGCCTCTAGGTACCCACTTAAACCAGGGAGATCCACCACTTGCACATGGTATAGCAGCATTTTTCTCTGTTAATTGGTTCAAATATTCTATGGAGTAAAAAGGTCATGAAGAAGAGGTTTCCCTTTAATCGGAGGAAGAAACAACAACGAGCAAAGTCACGGTCTGATGCCAGCATGTGCAGAAGGCCTGTATTATTTCTAAGCAGAACAGCAAGGGCGGGAGCCTGACTGCGATTATCTTGATACCTGTTAGAAACGGGTGCTTTAATTTACTAGCCAAAGGCATAACCGTACCCAGGGGCTGGAAGGAAGTCGGTGAAGTTTCAAAGCATATTTTTAACAGCTGAATGACCAGGGATGCCAGGCAGGTCTCCATCAGTGGAAATCGTTCAGGCAAGACGGGCTCTCTTTCTCAGACATACTGCTGCGGATCAAACATATGTGATTTGGCAAGAATCACTGGGGAGGATGCCACCGCCGCTGTGTTATATGGGAAGTCAGACTCTCTTCTGACATTACGATCTATGCAAATCTCGGTTGTTCAGCATGTTGCCGGCAGTGTTTCAGCCGCTTCCTCCTTATGCCAAGTGCGATTTATTGAATCCAGATCGGCTCAAAACCACGCCACATTTTCTAGCATGCAGCGATCCTACGGGACCCCGCTGAACCAGGCAGGGAGGCATCGGATCCCGGGGACTGTTATCCCTGGGGTTGTTATGCAAAGTACAGGCACGAGAGGGTTGAAAAAGGCCTTACCTGAGCAATCCATGCCTCCAGGCAGGATTTCCGTCCTCCCTGGCAGTCCAAAAATGTTTGCGACTTGGCTACAACTTGCTTTGCAGTCGCATCTGTGCTGACCTAAAGGAAGTCTGTGGCCAGTGCAGCGAGAGCTACCGGAGGAAGGGTGAACGAAACAAAGACAGCAGTGAAGGCTGCGTGCACAGGGGGAGCAGAGGTGGGGATGCAGGAAGCAGGCAGAGCTGCAAGGGCTAGGGATGCTGCTGGGACAAGGGCAGTAGGCGCTGGGGTGGGGTGGGGAAGAGGGGCACAAAAAATGTCACCAAGCTGCCTTTCTTGGGCACCGTTAGCTCCGGGATTGCTTCTTGTGTTGGAATGGTCTCAAGCTCGCATTGCCTTCTGGGAATTGTAGTGCTCACCAACAGGGGCAAGCTCTCCCTCCTCGGTGCCGGATGAAATCTGAATTGCTGGACCAAGGCAACCGGACGAGGCCCAGCGGCCTGCTGGAAAAAGGCGGCTCCCGGGGTCGCAGGCCGCAGTCGGGGACTGACTGAACGGAGGGACAAACTGGAGTATTTTTACAGCTCGCCAGCAGCTCCCATAGGGGAAATAAGCATCAGGTCATTTGTTGCAGCATCCCCAAAGCGATGGGACCCTTTGATTGCCTTGCTGGGGCAGATAAAGAAATATTCTGCTGATTTTGCAGAGGAGGAAACTGAGGCACTGGCGGGGTGAGGGTCAGATCCTGCAGCATATTGAGCACCACCTGCTGACTGCGGGCGATGAGACCGATCCGCACGGCTCGGACAGTGGATCGTGGCGTTGAGGCAGGACCTCGCTGAAAGCCATGGGTGGGGTGGGGGCTATGAGAAAGGCTGATTTCTTCCACCGGCAGCATCTCCTTTGCTACAGGGACCTTGCAGTCTCCTCGAAGTAATGTCTTGAAGCGCCCATGCTGGGACACCGTGCTTGTTGTTGTAATTAATGAGCCAGGAACATGGCTGCCCTAACTCCAAGCCAGGTCTCAGATGTTATTCAATCATCAGTTTCTTAATTGGAAGAAAATAGGCAGGGGTAATTGGAGTTTGCTGATATCTCACTGGCCCGTAGCCAAAGACTCTATTAACCCCAGCTGCGACACTTGGAAAATCATCATTTAGGATGGTAGATTACATAGGAAAAAAGGCATGCTTGTTACTAATATCACACACGTAACTCGTGGGACATGCATATGAAGATGGAAGCCTACACACATGACACACGTGATATCTGGGGCCAAATGCCTTGTCACTTCAGCAACACCTCCAGCATTACCAGCCACGATCTCAAAGTGCTTTGCATGTGGGCTAAGCATAACTATCCCCATTTTACAAGCAGGGAAACTGAGGCACAAACAAGTCGAGCGATTTGACCAAGGTCGGAAGGGTGTTTGTACCGGAAAGCTTGCAAAGAAGAATCTTTCCAACTATTTGAGTTGGTCTAATAAAAGGGCCCCACTCAACTTACCCCTGCAGCACTGTCCCTCATTGTGGGGACCTCGATGTAGCCCTTGCCCCTTTCCTCCTCCCATGGACTGACCTGCTGGGCTGGGGCACGCGCGTGCATGCACACAGGCATTCAGCCCCCCACCCCAGCCATGGATCGACCGCAAGAGGCTCTGAGATTTACCGCAAGAGGCTCCGAGATCGACTGCAAGAGGCTCCGAGATTTACCGGTGGATCTTGATCCACTGGTTAGTGACCACCGCTCTGTAGTATAGACAAGCCCTGATTTTTGCTAGCCATGCCTGCTTGCTTGAGGGCACTTGTGTGGCAGAGTATCTCAGTTGGGACGGAGCTGTACGCGTTGTGCTGCTGCACAGAGTCTCTAGAGCTGTGGATCTGAGTATCTAATTTCACGTGCAGAGCAAGACAGTGGGCAAACTCTCTATGGGGGGATGGAGGAAGATGCATTTCGGATCATTTCCCTCCTGGCCTCGCTAGCCCAAGCGTATTCATCAACTTGACTTTCAAATGAAGTCGGCCTTTCTGAAGTAATTACCAAGTAGCCTTGGGCCGCGGCGCTCTGCTGCCATTACTCACTGACCACCCCGGGGTCTCCAGTGGTTCCCCCGCTGTGGCTTGGCAGCTCATTTGCATAACAAGTCACCTGAAAAATGAAGCCATCTCCACCACCTCTGCTTGGCTTAAAGCAGCTTCATTTGACTGGAGCTGCAGCTGATTTCTACCAGCCCCGGATCTGGCCTGGATCTGCAAATGGGTTTGCAAATTATTAGTGATGCTAACTGAATCTCTTTAGCTTTCTAGGGACAAGGCCGCTCAGCTCTCCCTGCTTCTCCCTGCTCCCTTTCCAGCACTCCTCCTCTCCTGCAAGCTTGTTGCTCTGCCCGGTCCTGATGAAATGGCTTTGTTGTCTTTGCACTTTATTAAGCATTGATGAGAACAACCTTGACGAGATTATCACGGCTTTGGTGTCCGCACGTGAAATGAGGTGGGTTTTATTTTCCCCTCCCCTGGACCTCAACTGCAGCTCCATGCTGATGGCTTTTGGGGGATCTGTAAGTGCAGCGTTGAGCCCAGATCTCTGGGCTGCGGTCTTTAGATGCTACTCCAATGCAAAGAATGACAGCAGCCCATACCTAAACTCAGAGATTGCTTTGGCTGGATTGAAAAAGGAGCCATGGAGGCTGGTTGCTGTTATGTTTCTTATTTGGGCGGTGCTGGCATTTTTGGCTGGGGAGCGCTACTGAATGCAGCAGACTGTATTCAACAGCAGCCCAGAACGGCTCATTTCCCAAGGGAAGGTGACTGGTAGACACTGTTATATTAAACACAATAACTGGGACTTTGGCACCAGAACAGGCCACTAGATGCCAGCGAAAGCTCTTCGCACGCTTGAGCTTGCTGCAAAGCCACGTTGCTCTGGCAGTTTCATTTTGCAAATTGGGGATGTCCACATCTTCCACGTTGACTGTAGCAAAGGGCCCTTTCTGAGACGGAGGGCAGGGGAAACCCTATACTCATATTCAGAGGAAACCGTGTTTCTTTATGCAGGGGGCAAGGGGGGCGTATCTTTAGCCACATCCTTATCTGTGTGCTACAGTGATCTGTGGAGTCTGTTGCTTGGGATAGTGCACGGGGGTCTCTCTAAACACCACACTTGGAGGAAGAATTAGTTTGCAAGACTGGGGCTGAAGGGATCTGAGGTCCGTTTCTGACTCTGCCACTTGCTTCTTATGTGATCTGGATCAAGTCACTTGTGGGCAGATCCTTTGCGGGCGTTGGTGACATCACTGGATCTATGGTGCCTTACCCTTGCTGGGGATCTAGCCTTTTGTCTCCTTGTGCCTCATCTCAAATGAGGCCAACTCTGCAAGCTTTGGTGATGTAGATCATAACCTTCCTGGGGCAGGAACCTTCTGCTACTATGAGGGCTACGACGGGGTTCGGCTCTCAGCTGAGGTTTCTAGGTGCTAATTAATTACAAGTGAAGGAACCGGGGCACCCTGCTGGGACCGTACCAGGCTCTGAACATTGCTTTGAGGCAAAAATTGCAATGACCTTAATTCATCACAGTCCTGATAGCGCTGGGTTTGATAGCCAGGGAGAGCAACTATTTGGCATTACTGTTATGCCTTTGGCTAGTAAATTAAAGCACCCATTTCTAACAGGTATTGAGGGTAAAACGAGTGAAGCTTGCATTCAGTGGGGCACTGGGAGGGCAGTTGGTACCAAGGAAACACATTATCTGTAGAGTAAAATAGAGCTGTAGCCATGGCCCATTGCACCGTGCCTTCTTAGATTCGTAGATTCATTGAGGGTCGAAAGGGTCC